TGAGAATTTATACCCTGTAAAATTATGAAACCTTTAAAATCCACTCGGTAAGATTTTTATTTAATTGAAATAAACATTCAAAAAAACTTTAAAAATAGAAATACATCTTCAAAAATCCCTAAATTAAATTACAGCCATCTCCTAGACCTCCCTCAATTTATAAAATTGTTAAACCTAGGAACAAATACCCGCAGAGGCTCGAAACAATTTAAAACATCCAAAATAAGTTTCTGCAAATTCCCAGCAGCTTTAGTGACCACCCAAAATTTGTCACCAAAAGCCTGTAACATCTGTTGCTAAAAATGCAGAATTGTACCCTCACGAAAAATCACCAAATCGATCGATCTAACTCAAAGGGATTGAGTTCCCTTACCTCTAGAACGTGCCTAGGACTAGATTGGATGGCCCGGGAAGTTGATCTCCTCGTTGATAGAACCCTCAAACGTCATCCCTAATAAAATACGAGCTTCGGATTAGACTATCGATGAATCAAGTTTAGAAATCGCGGATGGGATCGTGATCCTTACCTAAAAACACGAAAGGGATGTGATCAGGGTCGGGAAATCGGGGTTGGGCACAGGTGGCGGCGGGCTCCTATTTTTCTTCCCGCCAGCGATGAGGAGCAGGGACGGGCGGTGGCGCTGATAATCGGCTTGGAAAAAAAGTTGCAATTGTTGGGCTTATACTGGGGAACTTTGAGGGTTGGGGATTTAATTTGGGGGAAGGGTTTTTTGTGGGAAGGGTTTTGGCGTGGTGGAATTTGGGGAAGGGTTGATGGCCGCTCGGCCCTCTTGGCCCAATATGTTTTTTTTTAATGATAATAATAATATAGTTTATATTATTATTTAACCCACGGTTGAAACTCTTTGCACGTAACCATTGATCCGACCGATCGCGTATTAAGGTCGAACCCAAACTCAAGGTCGGAGTGTTATACATTATTTATGGTCGAACCTATCATTATTTATGGTCGAACCGAAATCTAAAATACCTGGGTGTTACATTTCCCCCACCCTTATAAAAATTTCGTCCCCGAAATTTGCTCGGAACTCGTCCTTCCATCAACACCCTTCTTGTTCTTCCTTCCCACAATCATCTATTCTTACTATAACAACTTCGTTGGTACCTTTTGCTCAAATAAGTTTCCTTAGCTTGCAGCACTCGTGTAACCATAAGTGCCTCACTGCCCTTTTTACTCCCCAGCTTGATCCAAACGTGCTGAAACAAAATCCCAATCCGGCTTGTCATGTTGATCCAATTCTCTTGGTAGTTGATGTTGAACCTAAATCCAAAATCGAGACATCACATACTGCATCTCGCAAAGCCAATAGTTCTACCAAAAACGGGTTGTTCACCATGTCATAGTGCCTAGCCTCACAAGCAAGCATCAAACATGTACCATCTTCAATCACCAAACCTCCAGCACCATGAGAGCCCAAGCTAATTTCACGAGCGATATTGCACCAGTCAGACCTTGAAAGCGAAGAGAAGAAGCTCCACTGAGGAAGGAGCTGATTCTCCATTGCTCTGTATTTATACTAGGGAGAAAGGTAAAGTTTACAGAACAGTAAAACATGAAAATTTTGTTAAACAAAAATTCAAAAAGCAGTGAATATTTATTGCCACTTGTCTTTGTTTGATTAGTCTTCTATGCTCCACCTAATGGGAAACGAAGCCTCCACGTCATCGCTTCAACATTCGCTTCAGTTAGATGGAGGGGAAGGCATAAACGTTTCATTTCTGCCTTGTTAACTGCACTCCGTTTCTTCTTCTTCTAGCATCAACAAGCTCTACAGCTACTCTTCTTCTTCATGGATTTATATGCCCCCACAATCTGCCGAGTAGGCATTGAATACTCCCAGCTTATCAAGGAGAAACTTCAGTCGATAACGAGTGACACCTTCGGTGAAGATGTTTGTGATTTGATCGTCAGTTCTCACATGATTCAGTTTGATTAAGCCAGACTTCAACCTTTCCCTTATAACGTGACCGTCGATCTCAATGTGCTTCGTCCTCTCATGGAATACATGATTTTCTGCAATTTGCAATGCCGACTTGTTGTCACATAAGAGAGGGATTGGAAGTGGTACCTGAAATCCCATTTCTAACAACAAATTTATGAGCCACTGCACTTCACAAACAACTTGTGCCAACGCCCTGTATTCAGCCTTAGAGGATGACTGAGACACAGTTGTTTGTTTCTTGGTCTTCCAAGTGATCAGGGATGTGCCTAGGAATGTACAATAACCAGTCAATGACCTTCTGGAATCATGGAAACTTGCCAAGTCTACATCATAAAAGCCTAACAACTCCAGTTTTGAGTCTGACCTGAAGATCAGACCTTGTCCAGTTTTGAAACTGTGCCAACTGTTGGACATCATAGGTGACATTAGGTCTAGTGATGGTCAGGTAATGCAACCTGCCTATTAGCCTTTTGTAAACAGTAGGATCTGGTAAAGCTTCTTCTTGTGTTGCTGTTAACTTCACATTGCAATCCACGGGAGAGAGACAACCCTTTGCTTCAAGGTACCTTGTGTCTGTTATCCATTCCAGACAATATTTCTTTTCACTCAATGAAATTCCTTTGTGGTCTCTCAAAACTTCCACGCCTAAAAAGTAACTCATCTGACCAAGATCTTTCACTTTAAACTCTTTCCCAAGAAACAACTTTAGCTGCTCAATATAAGCCAGATAACTACCTGCAATGAGAATGTCATCAACATACACAAGAACAACTATAATGTTGCCTTGAATCAATCCCACATACATGGAATAGTCTAAGGACGTTTGAGAATAACCATTCTTCATCAAGGCATTTGTTAATTTGGCAAACCATTGCCTGCTGGCTTGTTTAAGCCCATAAAGAGACTTCTTAAGTCTGTAAACAAGTCCCTGAACTCTAGGGACATTTTCTCCAGGAGGTATCTCAAGGTACACCTCTTCTTCTAATTCTCCATGCATAAATGAATTGGAGACATCCATCTGATGAATGTGCCACTCTTTAGAAGCTGTCACTGCTAATAAAGTTTTTAGTTAGTTAATCTTGGCAACTGGTGAATATGTGTCTAAGAAGTCAATGTCATAGATCTGTGTATACCCCTTAGCCACCACTCTGGACTTTAACCTCTCAATGGTCTCATCAGACTTATGCTTGATCTTGAGTACCCATTTAGAACCCACTGCCTTCTTTACTTCTGGTAACTTAACAAGTTCCCAAGTTTGGTTCTCCTCTAGTGCTGCCAACTCTTCATTGCAAGCTTGATTCCAATTGAGATCCTTACAAGCTTCAACATATGAATTAGGTTCTTCATTAATCATAATACTGAGAAAAGATCTCTGGGAAGGAGTAAGGTGTTCAATGGAGAAATGTTGCTAGACATGATATTTTGAACAGGAGGCAGCAATGTTAACATGGTAATCTTGTGTGCCACAGTGGAACAGTACGAGTCCTATTGGACTTCCTGAGATATTGAGCCTCGTCAGTGTCATTATCATCAGGAAAAACATCTATCTTAGCATCCTCCCTCGTAAAATGCAAACCATGAGCCTCTGAACAGGAGGCAGAACTAGTGGAAGTAGAAGGTTGGGAAATGGAAAGTGGTGTAGGTGAAGAAGTAGTTGGAGATGGAGAAGGTAAAGGAGTGTGAATAGAAGAGGGACTGGGTGCATTCTGAGAAGGAGAAGAAGAAGAAGGTACCGTAGGAGGAGGGACAGTGGTAGGAATTAGGTCACCAATTCGTGGGTGTGTCGTCGCCGCTCTCGCTTTGGTGCGGCAAAATGCGGTTTCTGCGGAAATAGTGGATAATTCGCGTTTTTTATTTTTACAGAGCGCGAATTATATTCATGAACTCGCGTAATACCATCGACTCTCCGTCATGCCGTCACCGCTGAGGCCTCGATTAATTTGGGCGTGAAATTTGGTCTTCCTCTCTATTCGATACCGCTACCCTCCCAGCTCCCCCTGCTCCACTGCACTTCACCTCCCTAACAAAGAATACGATTCAATTTCAGTTTCAATTTACAATCGAATCCATCAATCCAAATTAACAATCAATTTCTTCCATTTCGTGCAAAAGGCAGGTTGTTGGAAGGACAATTACCTGGAACTAGCAGCCCAACGAAACTCAGACCCAGACATGCATGGCGCTCCGGAGTACTCGAAGGCATGGAAGAAATAACCATTAGGTGAATACAAAATTACAAACTCAATACATGCACTGGGGTCTTTGGGCAAGAAGGGTTTGGGATTGGGGGTGTAGTGAGAGATATCAATGGGCAATTCATTGTGGATTTTGCCAAAAAGGAACGAGGAAAGTGTAGCTCAGAGGAGGCTGAAGGCAAAGCTTTGCTTATGCGAATCTTGGAATGGGAAAAGGGCGGATTAAGACCGCTAATTGCCGAAAGTCACTTTCAAAATCTGATCTCGAAGCTAAGGAAATGAGAAGATGGTAGAAAAGAGCGGTAGGTGAAGGGATGAGTGAAAGAGGAAGAAGATGTTACATCTCCCAATCTGCCAATGAAAGGGCTCATCGATTAGCCGACCTCCTTTTGGACTGGGATTAGTAAACCTCGTGGGCCAATCTAGCCCAAATTGAGTTGTCAGCCTGATTGCAAATGAGGCCACTTATTGGTTTTTAGACTTATAAAATCCACGCTCTTATAAAAAAATCTTCAATTTTGTTTAATTTTAGACTTTAAGTGTATTTTGGTAATTTTAAGAAGGGTAGTGTCTTAATTTGACATTAGTGCGGTTAAATAAATTAATAAAATATCAATGCTCTATTCACGCTTTCAATATTGAATTTTTGAAAAATCGACGCGCTCACGCTCTCGCTCCACGCTCTAGTTACCTAAGGTAGGAATGGGTGATAGGACAGGATAGATGGGGTCTGAAATAAGGACATGAGGGGTAGAAGGGGTAGAAGTATTGTGGAAAGGGAAGATTGTCTCATAAAAAAGTGACATCTCTAGAAACAAAGAAGGTGTGAGAGTTGAGATCGTAAATTTTAAATCCTTTAATCCCAGAAGGAATTGTTTGACTCGACTGTCAAATTTAGTTTTGTCCCTATGTAAGGTAGTAGCATAACAGAGGCAACCAAAAACTCTTAGGCCAGAGAGACTTGGTGGTTTGTGGCAAAGAAGTTTATAGGGTGATTTATTGTCAAAGGCAGAAGTGGGGATTCTTTTAATGAGATAGACAACGTGTAAAACACGACCACTCCAGAATTCAACATGTGCTGATGTTTTCTCTCAACCCTACCATTTTGCTAAGGGGTTTCAACACAAGATAACTGATGTTCAATCCCATGAGCAGCATAAAACTCAACCATATGAAATTCACTTTCCTGATCACTTCTAATAACCTTGACAGGTTTAGAAAACTGCTTAGACACCATTACACAGAATGACTAGCAGTTTACTAGCCTCTGACTTGTGCTTTATTAAATAGGTCCAAACACCTTGTGAGTAATCATCAACAATAGTGAGAAAGAAAGAATATCCTTCATGGGATTTAACGGCAAGGGGCCCCTAGATGTCCCCATGAATAAGGGAAAAAGCATCCTGTGCATGAGAAGAACTAACAGGAAAGGGGAGTCATTTGTGTTTGGCAAGTGACAAGTTTCACAGTGAAAAGCAGATATCCTATAACAAGTTACTAATAGTTTTTCTTTCTATCTATGAAGATGTCCTAGCCTCCAGTGTCATAGATCAATGTTTTGTCGTGTGAAGTTGTAAGTGGCTGCTGCCTAGGGTTGTGTTTGAGAAGGTGAAGAGGTCTTGAAGTTTAATTGATAGAGTCCTCTAATTTTTTTTTGCCAAACCAGTCCAGTTGTGGGTCATGAGGTCCTGAATTTGGCAAGAGTCAGATTCAAAGTGTAAGGAAATAGGCAAGTCATTTGTCAGTTTACTAATAGAAACTAGACTGAAAGAAAATCTAGGCACTAGGAGGACATTATCTAGGATCAGGCCAGTACGTAATTTGACTCTCCCTATGTGACTCACAACTACCTTTGTGCCATTAGGCAAGAACACAAAGTGGTTTTAAACAGGGTTGGATTCAATGAAAAGGTCTAGGTTGCAGGCTATATGGTCAGAAGCACGAGTATCAAGTATCCATATGCCTACCAACCCATTTGTGTGGTGCTCTAAGTGAGAAGAAAGAATGTACTTACCAACACAGTTGGGAAAATGAGGAATGTGTTGTGCTACTGAGAAAGCATGATGATTTAGTGATGGTGATGCTGGTGGAGAAGGACTAGGAGAAGAGGAGACTGAAATCAGAAGGAACTTAAGCTTGTTCAGTTCCTTTGAAGATAAACCAAAGCTGCCACTAGAGTTCCTGGTATCAATACTGAGTTTAGTATCTGAACTGGCAGTGTCACTATCGGTGGAAGAATCACTCTGTGAAACAGCTGCAACCACATTTCCACCTGCCATTCGAACTTTTTTACATTTCAAACTATAGCAGTCTTCAATGTTGTGGTTTTCTTTCTTGTAGTATCGGCAAAAAATTTTACATCTGATGCTTCTCCAGATTTTTGCTGACTGTCTGAGTTGCCTTGTATAGCAAGGGAAACAGTTTGGACACCCCTTGTTACTCCAGCCTTGTCACCTTTGATTTTCTGCTCATGTTGCAGTAAGTCATTCGCTGCATTATCCACTATGGGTAGTGGCTTCATCATCAACAGTTGGGTGTGCACAACACATATTCAGGTCTTAACCCTTTTAGGAAACGAATCAGATACTCTTCTTCTTGCTTCTGTTTGAATACCTCCATAGCTGCACATGGGCGAGTTCGTTGGGCCACACAATCACATTCAAGAATGGGATTGAATCGAAGGTTCTCTTCCCACAAACCCTTGAACGTAGTATAATACTGAGTGATGTTCAGCGAACCTTGCTTACAAGTAATGATCTGCTCTTGGAGATTAGCTAATTTAATAGCATTTAGAAGGCCAAACCTCCTCTTCAATTCTTCCCAAAGAACTCTGGCATTCTCATGCTTCATCACACTTCGCCTAATTTCTTTTTCAATTGAGTTAAGAATCCATCATAAGACTAACGTATTAGAGGCATCCCATAATCCATAGTTAGGATCTCCAGTAGCAGGCATAGGAATAGTACCATGAATAAACTCTATCTTGTGCTTTGTCTTCAAAGCCATATGAATAGCTCGTTGCCACATTTGATAGTTTGGACCATCTAGATTCTCAGAAACAATCGACTGGGAGATGTTCTCATTTGGATTTATGTAAAAGGGGTTACCAAATTGAAGATCTCCGCGTCCATTGTCGTTGTTGTTAGTCGTCCCACTTGACTATGCATCGAAGGAGCCGAAGGGGATAGATCCACTGCTGAGCGGAATTCCACCATGGGTAGGTGGTTGTGGTGTGTTTGCCATCGTGAATTATTGGATCTGGTCCAGCTCTGATACCATATGGAAAAGCTCGATGAGCTTAGGGTTTGCTGAGAAGGGAAAGAAGAAGAAGGCGGTACAAGATGGGAAACCCCGCAAGGAACTGATTCTCCATTGCTCTGTATTTATACTAGGGAGAAAGGTACAGTTTACAGAACAGTAAAACATGAAAAGTCTAATAAATGAAAATTCAAAAAGCAATAAATATTTATCGCCACTTGTCTTCGTTTGATTGGCCTTCTCTGCTCCACCTAACGGTAAACGAAGTCGCCACGACGTCGCTGCAACATTCGCTTCAGTTAGATGGAGGAGAAGGCAGCAACGTTTCGTTTCTGCCTTGTTTGATGCACTCTGTTTCTTCTTCTTCTAGCATCAACACTGCAACTACTTTTTTTCTTCCTGGATTGATAGAATCAAATACAACTAAATTATGAGATTTTCATGTTCTCCAAAATAGTGCCACCATTCACACTACAAGCTCCAAGAACCTGCACCGACACATTGTTAAATTATCGACGGCCATTCCTACCTGCAAGTCCCTCAGCCCAACAACTGCCAATGAGAACTAAAGGTTGGTTTGGAAAACGAGCCATGAAATTAGAATCTTAGGTCTTTAGAATACAAAGATTCAGTATCCAAACAAGCCCTAAGTAAGCAGAGTTATTTTTGGATAGAAATGGATGTGTGTGTGGCACAACAAACAACAAAAAGATAAAGTTGTGTTTTTATGAATGAAACATGAACGGATGAAGTCATGTTTTTATGACTCGTTTGGAGAATGAGATTTAGGGCGTGGATTAATTGAATCCGTAGATTTTGTAGAAAGTTATGTTTTTTGGTTGCTTTTTGTGGATTTTAGTTTTAGAGATTTCAAATCTCTAAAACCTACAGATATCAAATCTCTAATAATAAAGAGATTGTATATCTCGATTCGTGGGATTCTTTTCTCCTACTTTTTCTCTTTATTTTATTTTTTTATCATATTAAATATGTTTATCAACAAAGTTTTTAATATTTCTCGAACCACTGTAATTTTTTATTAAGGATAAACATATTATTTAATAAAATTTGAATTTTTTATTTTTATTGAATGTTAACAATCTGAGTTATCAAACAATAAATATTTTAAAATCCAAAGAGTTAGAATATTTAGATTGTTGACAATCTATAGATTTAAAGTCATATTCTCCAAACCACCCTAAGTCTACTTTTGCCTTCATAAAACGTATTTGAATTATGGTTGGACAATACTCTTTCCACATTGTTATTAAATCATTGATCGTTGCGATAATTTATTCCAATAAAAATTTAGATCAATAGGAGTCTGTTATCCAAATTAATTAGGTCTAATTAAGTAATAGCTAGCTAACTAGAGAAACTCGGATCAACTATATATAACGTCCAAGATTTTGATTACAAAGAGCAGGAGGTCCTAAGCAAACAAGCATACACAAAGTGCATGGAGGGTAATCATGAGTACACTTTCAGACACTTGTAATTAGTACATAACCAACAAAGTCACTTAACTGGAACAATAGAATGCACGTACTTAAAAGAGACAGGTTCTTGTAAAATACATCCATTAACAGTAATATATCATATATTCCTACTGCTAGCCGATGGCGAAACAAAGCCTACTTCAAGGACTATCATCAGCACCGCCGGCACTTCCTCCATCACCATACCCAGCATCCGCACCCCCGTCGTCATCACCCCCTCCACCTCCAAGATCCCCTCCGTTCTCATCACCGTCACCCACGCCGCCGCCAATGCCGCCCCCTCCACCGTACCCACCACCACCTCCAAACCCACCGCCGCCTCCAGCACCACCACCCAACCCACCGCCGCCGCCGATCCCGCCTCCCCCTCCACCCCCGCCTCCGCCTAGACCACCACCGCCACCTCCTCCACCAAGCCCGCCATCGCCTCCTCCTCCCAGCCCGCCACCGTGTCCTACTCCGCCGCCAAGTCCCCCACCATGGCCTAAACCACCTCCGTGGCCAACGCCGCCACCCAACCCAACACCACCACCTAACCCACCCCCTCCACCACCGCCGAAACCTCCCCCGCCACCAAACCCACCCCCAAGTCCTCCGCCTCCGAACCTACCATGACGGAACCCTTTGTCGGAAATCCCACGGCCGATCCCTTTGCCGCCTCCCCTGAGCATCGGACGAGGCGCCACTTTGAAGTGCTTGTCCTCCACCTCATCATCCTGATCACCACCAGCGCTCATAACGTCATCATCCGCCGTCGCTGACGGCAGGAGCAGCAGAGCATTGGCCGCCAGGAGAGCGCACAAGAAGAGAGCTGCAGTCCCAGCCATACTGTAAAATTAAAAATAAAAATTTGGAGATGGTGGGTGGTGCAAGATGAGAGGGGGGAGATATGTATTGCATTTATATAATAAACAAAGGCTGATGGTGCGGGTAAGTGGAAATTTGGAGGGGGGAAGTGTAAAAGAAGTGGATAGAAAAGAAAGAGTAGTAATTAATATTCCACCCAACTGTCAACCTTTGGGAGGAGTAAATGAGCCTCAGCTGTTCTTGGGGAGGAAATTGATTTCTTATTATTTTCTCAACTACCTCATAGCTATATGGCTGGCTGATAGTATAGTAAAGTGTATAGACTATAGAGTACTACTACTACCCATCCAAATATTATTGAGACACCTCCCTGTCACAAGCCACATGCTACGTGAAAGAGAGGTGGGGCGGGAAGTAATTATTACGTGCCACAGAGGTAGGGTAACGTTTCTATTGATTGGATACGGGCACGGTAAAAAAAAAAAACCTGTCTCGGAAATAAGAAAATACCCAACTCGTACAAGTTAAGTAATTCAATGATGTATTTTCATATTCTACAAAAATTTATAAAATACACTTGGTGTCTACAGTGCTTAACAAATTGTCTATGTATATCCCACTAGACAATCATTCAACACTTGTCGTACAACCATAAAATCAATACAAATTAAGAATAGCTTATAATTAGATTAATTGATAGGTTTAGAAAATAATTAAAGATAGAGAATAGAGTTATGCTATTACACAGTGTTCAGGAAGCTCAATTCTTCAACTAAACCTCGATTTATCATCTAACCGAACCGGTTTTACTTAATCAAACTACCTATTCATAGTGATAAGAAAAAGTAACTTGGAGATGCTATTTGGGGGGAAAGAGTTGCCTACGCTTGGATCCCATATACTTTTTATCGTTTGATTGATGTGAACAACGATTTGGCGGATCTCCTCCTGACCTCGAAAACTCCTAATTTCAATGTTTACATACTTTGACGTGTATTAACAGCCTATTGATTAGCTAAGGGTGGAAATACTGTTGTGATTTATATAGTTACTTGAAATCGTAATCACGCAAAGTAGTTAGCCATGAACCATTTAACGCTCTAACTCCATCGCGGTTATTAAAATGAATTGTTAAACGAATTGCAAAATGCACCCCTACAGAAAAAGAAAACGGAAACACAGTCCAAATGGGCCAAGCCCACTCCGTCCAGTCCACCTTCATCATCATCCAAGTCCAACCAACTACTAGCGTCCAAAATATATTCGTTCATTTTCAGAAATCTGCAACTCTCGTTCCGCTGCCGATCGCTTAATTTATGTTTCTTCTGCTTTTAATTTTGAGAAAATCGATGGTTCGAGCCGATTGGCTATACTATATAGTACTAGCAAAAGTCCGCTCGCTACCGTTTTGCGTGTTTGCAAGAAAATATATTTTAAAGACTAATAGTTTTAATGTTGATCCAAAAGTAAAAGTAGTCTTACTCATTCTTAATTTTTCTTTTCATGGGTTTGTTAGTTACAACATGTGGTGGGCGAAGCGATGAACATGCATAAGGGTCGTCGAGCATATGATTTATATTTAAACTTCTCTCTATTGTTTCCGTTTGTAAAGCTAGTTAGCCCTCCTATAACTTCTGTAAAAGCAGCTTTTGGCTAGATCTTTTAGAGAAATATTTTTTTAAGAAAGAGTTGAGGGTTTGGCTGAAAACTATTAAAAGTATTTTCAAATATAAGAGGTCATGCATAAACACAAAAAAATAATTTCTAATATAAAATATGAGAGTTAAAAGTAGTCAAAATGAATTTTGTTAGATTCCATTCATATAAAATAATACTATTTTCTAATTTATTTTAATTTTAAAATGATATGAATGGAATAAAATTTTATTTCCATAAAAAAATTAAAATATGGTAAGGACAATTTTGTATATTCAAAGCAACTTTTCACATAAGTTTAAATCGAATCTTCAAATTTTGAAACATAAAAGCACTTATAAAATTCGGCAAAACATAGTCGTACTCTTTTGTCTATGTTTTTTTTTTGTTTAAGATTATCATGGTTCTTTTTTTTAATATTCGAGACTGATTGCATGTTTGAATAGGTTCAAATTGCATTGATCGGGTCCAATTAAGTTGGATACCCATGGGTTTGGGTTCAATTGACACTCTCAGCCAAAAGAAAAGAGAGAAATGAAAAACACTAAAGCAAATAAAACTCACTCCCGACTTAAAACTCGTCAACACCATACCCGATAGAACCCGTTAGTTACAAAGCGGATAAAAATTGTAAACGTCAGGTTCAAGTCGCTTTGACTAGGTCGAATTAGGTTGGGTACCCATAGATTGGGTTCAATTGTCATTCTCAACCTAAAGGAAAAGGATAAACAAAAAAGCACTGAAGCAGATAAAACTCTCAACACCGGTTTCAACTGGCTTTGACAAGACCAAACCCAGTTTTAACAAATTCACAATTGCCCAATCTTACAATTACAAAAGTGCATAAAACTCGCTATTGATACAAAACTCGTGAACACTGGGTTTGGGTTAAATTGTCATTCTCAGCCAATAGAAAAATTGCGAAATAAAAAAAGGGTTAATATATTTGTATGGCCTGAACCCTGAATTTTTCACATAATAAACATCTTGCCCAATCTTTTCAGTCTATAACATCATGGCCTGAACTATACACCAAAGTAACAAAATTGACCAAACCCGAAAATTGACCGTTATCTTGGATGGTCAAACCCGTTGACTAACAGTCAACGTGCCACGTCAGCAAATTTCACTTATTCTTTTTTATTTATATTTTTCACCTATTATTATTTATATTTTTTATTTTGAATCCAAAAAAATTAAAAAAATGAATTTTGGGTCCAGAAATTCATTTTCCAAAAATAGTACATCAATGGAGGCGAATCTCTCTCCTCCCTCGACCACCCAGCTCCGATCACCACCTTGTGACCGACGAACAAGGAAGTGAAAGATCACCATTAACTAATCCTCCAACAATGATTTCCATTCTTGCTACTTCCTTCCTCAATCCCAATGTACCTTCATCTTCTTCCTCTCGCTTCTCTTAACTTCCCAACTCCCCCATCTTCTTAATTCGCTGGATCTTATACCACTCTCTAACACACCGTCTCAAACGAAAGTCAACTCTCGGGCTTGAAGTTTGCACAGGCCGACTATACCATGTGTCTGAAGACAACGGTTAATATTGGGGGTCGTGGAGATTCGAACACATGACCACTTGGCCAAACCAGGCTCGGATACCATGTCATGAACCAGTTACTCCCAATAACTCGAATTGTTTGAAAAAGGCATTGCTCAATCTTATACCACTCTCTAACAAATTCCACCACGCTCGCCTACCCACAACCTTCTTCAATTACCGCCATTACAGTATATGCCTATCAAATTCACACCCACCCTTAACCATCCCCCGCCTTAAATCCCTAGCCAAAACTGTTGTCTTAATCGCCGCCGCTCATCTCTAAGTACTCCACTCGCCCAAAGTCGAATCCCATGCTACTCTAGATCTGCGCCGAGGGAGAGCAGCAAGGACCAGATCTCTGCATGATGAAACACCAAGCAATATCTCCTTGCGGACTTCCTCCTTGAAAAATCGCAGATCGAGAAACTCACACCATAATCGGCGGTATCTCCGTCGTAGACTTCCTCCCTGTAAAATCCCAAATCGACAAAGTCAAAACCTTGATCGTCACTATCTCCATCCAGGACTTCCTCCGTGATGGGTTGGGGATGAAGAGAGGCTGGGAAATGCTCGCCTACCGTCATTGATATCTTAGAGAATACTAAAGAAAAATTCTCAGGGTCGGCTTACCGTAACCGGCGAATAGAATTTCCTAAGGGAAATAAAGGAAGAAGACAAAGAGGAGGGGCCGATTACAGGGCATTTGGTTTTCTTTCTTTTTTTTAAATAATTATTGTTGGAAGGACATCATTTTCTTTCAAAAAAATTGAAAAGTGAATTCATTTTCAATTTTTTATTTTTCAATTTTTTTATTCAAAAAGAAAAAAAAAATAGTGATAGGTGGAAAATATAAAATATTTTTAGTAAAAGGTGTTGACTTGGCGGTGACGTGGCGCATTGACCGTTAGTTAACGCGTTTGACCGTCCAAGATAACAGTCAATTTTTGGGTTTTGCCAATTTCGTTACTTTGCTGTATAGTTCAGGCCATGATGTTATAGATCAAAAAATTGGCTAGTATGTTTATTATGTGAAAAGTTCAGGTCATACAAATATATTAACCCATAAAAAAATATTAAAGTGGACAAAACTCACTCTCGATCTAAAACTCTTAAATATTGTATTCAACTTGATTTGATCGAGTTTTTAACAAATTCACACTCGTGCCAACTGCAAAAGCGGTTAAACTCGGTCACGAAACAAAACTGGTCAATAGATTCGGGTTCAATTGTCTTCCCAACAAAAAAAAAAGAAATATTAAAATACTACAATAAGTTTCAAGTCACTTTGACCGGGTCGAATTATGTTGGAAAAAGAGAAATAAAAAAAACACAAAGGGTGGTTAACCTCGGTTCCGATACAAAACGTATCAACATAGAGCAGATCTGGTATGGATCTTCAGTAGTAGCCTTGGGAAACGGTGAATGGGACAACTTAGGATTTCGCCGACAATGTTTCAAGAAGAGTTTTAAATTGGTGAGCGAAGGCGAGGATTGGACAAAGCATATCTGTTATGGATATTCGGTCGCGCCCGTGGCAAACGGTGGAAGGGGACAACTTATGATTCCGTCGACAGTATTTCGAGATGGGCTGCAAAATGGTGGGCAAAGGGGATGATTTGGCCAAAAAATTATAGACGAAAACCCAGTGGGTAATAGTTGTTATGGATATTCGGTCGCGACTGTTATAATCGCGCTGCTACGGATCGGGAAATCACCAGAATCGAGAAAGCAAGAATACGAAAGCGAGAATCTAAAACACGACACACGATTTACATGGTTCACTAACACGATGTGTGTTAGCTAGTCCACGGGCTAGAGAGAGCCAGTTTCACTATATCGAGGAGATTACAGATTACAGAGGAGATGAGAAGTATTTATTCTTCTTCATGTGAGTCTAAACCTAATCCAATCTGGCAAAGGAAACAGTTATTCTAGTTCCACTATATCAGCGAGACCCCCGACTATTCCAGTCGTAGCGGCTGATAGTCCTATTCAAGTCACATCAACAGCGGCCGTGGCAAACGGTAGATGGGTTGCAGAATGGTGGGCAAAGATGATGATTTGGCCAAAAAAGTATAGACAAAAACCCAGTGGATAATAGTTGTTATGGATATTCGGTCGCGACTGTGGCAAACGGTGGAAGGGGACAACTTAAGATTCCGCCTACAGTATTTCGAGATGGGCTGCAAAATGGTTGGGAAAGACGATGATTTGGCCAAAAGAATATAGAATAAAACCCAGTGGATAATAGTTGAATAGAGAAACCATTGAACAATAGCTTAAACTTGGTAGGCAATAATTGTTACGAGAAACACAATGGACAATAGAAACAAACCCAACAAACAATATTTGAACACAAAGGTTGTAGAATGGGAGAGTAGGGTAAAAGAAACCCTTGGAACTTCCCCACTTGCAAGGAGGAGTGTGAGGGCTCGCTCGCTGTCCCTTCGCGTATGAGCGAGAACATGACATTCTAAAGATTAATAGTTTGAATTTTGATCCAAAAGTAAAGGACTTGTCATCTACAATTTCATGTAATCGACTCAACGATATAAACTTTGATAAGCGAGAAGGGTCGTCGAGCAAATGATTTCTATGTTAAATCTTCTCTCGTAACACTATTGATTAGTTTGTATTCTTTTTGCTTTTTTTTCAAGTTCATTCTCAACCAAAAAGAAAGAGAGACATTAAAGCGGATAAAACTTGCTCAAGACCCCAAATTCGGCAACATCTTGTTCAACTCTCTTTGATCGGGTTCAACCGAGTTTGTAACAAATTCACAACCGACCCGACCAGAGCATTTAAAAAGCGTATAAAACTCACACCCGCCTGAGAAGTTAATAAACATTAAAGTGGATAAAACTCGCTCACGACCCAAAACTCGTCAACATAATGTTCAACTCTCCATGATCTGGTTGAACCGAGTATGTTACAAATTCACAACCAATTCGACCCGCCAATTACAAAAGCGAATAAAATTCACTCCTTCGTGAAAGCTTTGTAAACATCGCGTTCAAGTCATTTTTATCAAGTTAAATTAGGTTGGATACCCAACCTAATTAGGGTTTGCTCTCGATACAAAACTCGTCAGCACCGAGTCTTGCTTCAATTGTCATTCACAACGAAAAGGAAAAATAAAATAACATTAAACAGACAAATCTCAGTCTTGATCCAAATCTCGGCAACACCTTGTTCAGCTCGCTTTGCCTGGGTCGAATCGAGTTTTTAACAAATTCACACTCGACTCAAGATGTCAACTACAAAAGCGGATAAAACTCGTTCTTGATACAAAACTTGTCAATACCAGGTTTGGGTTCAATTGTCATTCTCAACGAAAAGAAAATTAGGAATTTAAAATTACTAAAGACAGGTTCAAGTCGCTTGAATTAGGTTGGATTCCTATGAGTTTGAGTTCAATTATCATGCATGACCAAACAAAAAAGAGAAATAAGAAAACACTATTGAATATATAACTCGGGTTCGATACAAAACTCGACAACATAAAGCATGTTGGTATGGATTTTCGGTAGTGGTCTTGTGACACAGTGGATGGGTGCAACTTAGGATTCCACCGAAATTATTCCGAGATATGGTATGGATCTTCGATAGCGGTCGTGGCAAACGTTGGAAGAGGACAACTTATGATTTCGTCGATAGTATTTCGAGATGGGTTGTGAATTGGTGTTCCAAGGAGATTATTTGGGCGAAAGATCATAGACGAAAACGTAATAGATAATTGTTGCAACAGGGAACGCAATGAACAATAGATAAAACCTTATGGATAATAGTTGCAGACCCAACTGACAATAAATGAACACAAAGGTTATAGAATGAGAGTGTGGGGTAAAAGATGGAACTTGAAACTTGTTCACTTGCAAGGAGGAGTGTGAGGGCCACTAATGAATAGTAACTCACAACCTTAGCTTTTATAAATTAATTAATTAATATATTAATTAATTAATATGATTTCACCGATAGTGTTTCGAGATGGGTTGTGAATTGGTGGTAAAAGGAAATGATTTGGGCGAAAGATCATAGACGAAAACGTAATAAATAATTGTTGCAATAGGGAACGCAATGAACAACAGATGAAACCTTATGGACAATAGTTGTAGACCCAACAGATAATAAATTAACACAATGGTTGTAGAATGGGAGTGTGAGGTAAGAGATGGAACTTGAAACTTGTCAACTTGCAAGGAGGAGTGTGAGAGCCACTAATGAATAGTAACCCACAACCTTGGCTTTAATATATTAATTAATAAAGTATTTCGAGATATGGTATGGATCTTCGGTAGCGGTCGTGGCAAACGGTGGAAGAGGACAACTTATGATATCGTCGATAGTGTTTCGAGATTGGTTGTGAATTGGTGGTCCAAGGAGATAATTTGGGCGAAAGATCATGGACGAAAACGTAATAGATAATTGTAACGCAATGAACAATAGATGAACCTTACGAACAATAGTTGTAGACCCAACGGATAATAAATGCACACAAAGGTTGTAGAATGGGAGTGTGGGGTAAAAGATGGAACTTGAAACTTGTCCACTTGCAAGGAGGAGTGTGAGAGCCACTAATGAATAGTAACCCACAACCTTGGCTTTTATATATTAATTAATATTAATTTCGTCGATAGTGTTTCGAGATGGGTTGTGAATTGGTGGTCCAAGGAGATAATTTGGGCGAAAGATCATGGACGAAAATGTAATAGATAATTGTTGCAATAGGAAACGCAATGAACAATAGATGAAATCTTATGGACAATAGTTGTAGACCCAACGGATAATAAATGAACACAAAGGTTGTAGAATGGGAGTGTGAGGTGAAAGATGGAACTTGAAACTTGTCCACTTGCAAGGAGGCGTGTGAGAGCCACTAATGAATAGTAGCCCACAACCTTGGCTTTTATATATTAATTTCGTCGATAGTGTTTCGAGATGGGTTGTGAATTGGTGGTCCAAGGAAATGATTTGGGCGAAAGATCATAAACGAAAACGTAATAGATAATTGTTGTAATAGGGAATGCAATGAACAATAGATGAAACCTTATGGACAATAGTTGTAGACCCAACGGATAATAAATGAACACAAATGTTGTAGAATGGGAGTGTAGGGGTGGGCATACGGTTCGGTTTTACCGAACCGAACCAAACTAAAACCGACCGAAACCGAATTAAAGCTTGTTAGGTTCAGGAATCGGAAGGAGATATCATATATTTCGGAAATCATCATCGTTTGAACCGAACCAAACTTCTGATTTGCCGACCGAATTCCGAATTTCCAACCCAGCCCACTAACTCTGAGGCCTGAGCCATGAGTCCATCCTCTCTCTCTCTCTCTCTCTCTCTCTCTCTCTCTCTCTCTCTGAGCCCATTCCGAAATGTGGCTCTAGGCCCAATTCCCTCACAAGCTTCAACCGAAACACGACCCAATTCCCAAATCTCTCGGCCTCGCACAGTCGCACTCGCACAGTCGAAGCTCTCTGCCTTTGCGTTTTTCTCTTCGCAGTTCGACCAAAAAACCCTAGCTAGCTCTTAGCAGCCGCCGCCAGCCGAAATCGAAAGGAGAGAAAGACAGCCGCTGCGGCGTCGCCATAAGCCCGACCCGAGCTCCCACCGCGACTCGTCGCTCCCCGTCGGCGACGGCCCGACGCGTCTCCAGTCTTCTCCGATCCATCTCTCTCCCACTCCAACCGCGAATCGTCGCTGCCTCCCATTCACATACTCTTCCGCCCGCTGCCAGCCCGCCACCACTCACTTGCCACGACATCCTACCGACCATCGTCCATACTCCAGTCTCCAGTCTCCTCCGACCTCCAGTAGCCGCGTCCGCAGACCAGGCTCGCCAGGCTCCACCATTCACTGTCCTGTCCACTTGTCAATTTAAATTGTAGCATAAAAAATGTACAGCAGCTAAGAGGAAAAAAGTCCAGCAGGCAGCAGATGCAAAACAATTAAAGGAGGGCAGCAACAGTTTTTTCGGTTCTGACCAAAAAAATTGAACCGAACCGAGTTGTATTTCGGTTCGGCCAAACCGAACCGAAATACATTTCCGTTCGAATTCGGTTGGCGCAGGCAATGGATCGGAATACCGATACTACTCTAGTTCGGTTTGGTTCAAACCGAACCGACCGAACGCCCACCCCTATGGGAGTGAGGTTAAAGATGGAACTTGAAACTTGTCCACTTGCAAAGAGGAGTTTGAGAGCCACTAATGAATAATAACCCACAACATTGGCTTTTATATATTAAAATAAAATAATTAATTAATAATGGGAGTGTGAGGTAAAAGATGGAACTTGAAACTTGTTCACTTGCAAAGAGGAGTGTGAGAGCCACTAATGAATAGTAACCCACAATCTTAGCTTTTATATATTAATAATTAATTAATTAATATACTGGTTTCAGTTTCTGATAATCGAAGAACAGATAAATTGTTTGTTTGCCTTTGCCACCATCATTGCAAATCAGGATCTCACTAAATTCGAGAATCCACTTAGTATTGCAACGATGCTTCAATTTAAAAGATTTTCTAGTGACGTTTAAATCGATATGCAATTTTTAACGCTATCAAACTATTGAACCACACTTAACTACGATTGCATTACAAAATACTTTAGTTAACAACTTACTAATTCAAAGCAATCCAATTCAGTGAGTGACAATTACACGTCGTCACAAACAGTAAAATAGCAACCCAATTTCCCAAGTTCTGCTGTTCAGGACAATTGCACCAAGAACCATATATGATCCTGGCCTGTACAGATATTCGGACCTGAACAATTAGCGCTTCCAAATTTTAGAAAAGAAAAAAGGGAAGGGAAGGATGAACAGAACAGAACAGAAGTGCTACGACCATTTATTGATCGATTTCAACACATTTATTGGAAAACATATAGTGCATACGCACGCATGCCTAACCCACGACCTCAATGATGCAACCCCGACGACGTTCTTATTGCCGAAAACCACAAACTCTCCTCCACATCAAACGAGAACTGAATGACTGCTAACTTTCACTTTACATGCTAGCCAGCTTAAGGGAGTTGGCCTTTTCTTGCAGGGTATCCAGCAGACTGTCAAAGCTCTTCTTGAATGAATCGACTCCTTCTGCCTCCAGCTGATCTCCTACCTGGCTCCAACCAATGCCCAGCTTCTCCAGCGCGCTATAGATCCCTTCAGCTTCCGACACACTGGAATCGATGGTCCTCCCAACGGTTCCATGATCGACAAATGCTTGAAGTGCTTGATCAGGCATGGTTGAAACCTACACCAGAAAAAAAGAGTGGGGAAAAAGACCCTTCATTATCACAAACCGTTGAACCCTTCAGCAAAACCAAGATAGTGCAAAACTCAGCTCAATATAATGGTGGACAGGCAGAGTTGAAAAGAGTTGAAAACCTACCGTGTCTGGTCCAATAAGGGGTGCCACATATAGAGTATCAGGGTAGGCAGGATTTTTCACGCTAGTTGATGCCCACAGCAGCCTCTGCTTCTTGGCACCCTTCTTCACCAAGGCTTCCCATCTTGGTCCAGAGAATTTCTTCTGGTACAGCTGATATGCCAGGGCTGCTTGAGCTACTGCAGCCTAAGACACAGTGCCCCCTCGATGAATAAATCAAAGCAATTCTCGGAATCCACAACACATCAGCATTCCAAGAACAGCAAGAATGAATTGATATTTCATTTACCTTTCCGCGGAGATCTAGTGCTTCTGGAGTTCCAATCTTCTCCAGCATTTTGTCAATGAGAGTGTCCACCCTACTTACGAAGAAGGAAGCAACACTCGTCACTCTAGAGAGGTCGCTTAGGCCAGATGCTTCGAGGCCATCCAAGTAAGCATCAATTACACCTTCGTATCGAGCGAGTGAGAATATAAGCTGTACCAATGCATAAACACACAAAAAATGAACAAACATCAGACTAAGCGCTGTTACAGTGTTACTGCACACATCATGGCTCAGACTTTATACCAAAACTAGGAAATTTTTCTTAATAGAGAGACTTGTCATTAGGATACTTAATAGGCTATAGTCGTATTACTAGTAAGAGTAGACACTTGCAGAGCCTGTATTCTAAGAAAATACACCAACTAGAAAACAAACAGCTAAGAGAGAAGACAAGAGTCAACTTACAGTCACGTTCACGCTAATACCAAGCGAAATGGTATCCTTAATGGAGGGCACACATGCAGCAGTAGCAGGAATCTTGATGTACACATTGGGACGATCCACCACCTTATGCAGCCATTTCGCGGCCTCAACGGTCCCTTGGGTATCATCAGCTAGTCTAGGAGAAACCTCAACAGAGACATAGCCATCAGCGCCGTCCGTTTGATCATAAATAGGCTCAAAGAGCTTGCACGCGTCCTGAATATCCTTAATTACGAGTTCCCAATATGCATTTTCAATGTCTTTCCCGGACTGTACAAGCTCCCTAGGAATCAGAAACAATCTTAGATCAGTATCACTCCATTGAAAATCCACAGAAGAAAGCAACGAAGTTCAGCAACCGTATACATGTAGGAAATTAATGGGGTCCAAAGCTGGACCCAGGAAGAGCCCACCATTAGCAAGGGGACATCAATACTATGCGCAGCAAAGGAACAAATTGCTAGAATCGACAGGGAATCAAAGTTAAGGCACAAAGTGTGAAGCAAGGCCAAAAGGGTAGTACTTGAACTGATCGTTGTAGGCGTTAGAGGATGAGATGGCCTTCTGGAAAATCTGCAAGCATAGGTTGAAGAAAGCCGATTAAGAAAACGGAAAAGGGTGGGCATACACAATAGAGACAAAGAAAGAAAGAAAGAAAGAAAGAAAGAAGCAGGGAGTTACCGCTGGGTTGCTAGTGACACCTCTAACACCAGTCTCAATCAAAGGGATGAGGTCGGTCACAGGGCGGCAGAGGTTATCATACCAAGGGCTCTGACCCTCCCGCTCATAGAGATCATGAAGCGTAGTTCTCTTGGTAGGGCTCCCATTCCCCGCGGAAGCAGAGCACCTAACCCTGCATACCCACAAAGCAGCAGTGATCAGCAGCGACATAATTTAAAATAAGACAAACAATCCAACAAAAGGACAAGCACTTACAGAAAAGAGGGCGTCGAGAGTTTGATGGCGAAACGGAGCCGGAGAACGGCCGAAGGAGGAGAAGAACGGTTGGGGGTGTGGAAGGGGATGAAGGAAAGGTTGGAGAAGGAGGATGGCGAGTTGGGATGGGAAGATGATAGGAGAGGGTGATGGAGATTGGAGGAGAGCTTGGAAATGGTAGCCATCGGGAGTTTAGTGGGTTGCCGGGTGGGATCAGATCGAGGTCGCCGGGATCTTCAGATAGCGGGGGTTGGTTGGTGTGGTTGGTGGCCGGCGATATTTTCTAACGTCTTGTGAAATCTGAAAGCGAGAGCGGATTTCAGAGTCGCGATTGATGCGATCGGTATGAACTCGAGATCAGAGGCCGGAGAACGGAAAAGGGATATTCAGAAATTAGAAAGAGATGCCAAATCAGGGATTTTGAGGGAGAAGAGTGCAAAGAGAATATGAGCGCAGGGGTTTGGTGAGTCTTACCTAAAAAAAACGTATGTATAAGTTGGTACGTTGACCGAAGATGGGAAAAGGGAAAATGAGAATCTGGCCTTTTGGGTCTGTCCGATTCGTCAAATTTGGCCCATGGCCTTTTGGTTTGTCCGATTCGTCAACTTTGCCCCATTTGGGTGGGAGCCAAATTCACATTGAGGCTCAGGATGGGGAGAGAGACAGACAGAGGGTAGTCGACGTTTAGGCCTCGTTTGCTAATGAGATTTGGAAATGAGGGTTTTGGTCTAGATTTGGGTTTTGAAAACCTTAAGGATTTATAATGGATTTGATACATTGTGTTTTTGTAAAGTCTCTTGTTTGCTACATAGATTTGATCATGGATTTAAGGATTAGGGATTTATGACTAGAAAAGGTAGATTACCACATTGTCCTTCTTTATTTCTTTTACTATTTATTTATACCTAGTTATTATTAGCAGCCTCATCATCGCAAGTTTTTCCTTTGAAAAAGAAAGCCTCCACCTCCAGCCGCTCACATCTCCACCGCCAACAATCAGCATACCCAGAGGTGTGGGATCCTTGTGATAGCAACGCGAGTCTTCCTTTCATTAACGGCTACTACAATTCCTCCGGAGGATTCGTCCCCGTGGACATGAGAAGCGGTCAGAACGTCCGCGCTTGGATCGATTTCGACGGTAGCAATTTCGAGAGATCAATGTGACGGTCGCGCCGATTGGGATAAAAAACCCTCAATCCAGTGGCCGGTCGTGAACACTATCTTCTCCTGTGCTGGCTGGACTCGGGTAAATCTCTTTCTATTCTTCTCCATTCATACGATGATTGACTAAGATGGTTGATGCTCGTGCGAATCAGTTGAAAGGAACCTGCAAAATCAACTCATGGCAAGTAGAAGGAATTGGGCGAATCTGGTGGATGACTTCGAATACGATGAGGAAGAGGTAAAATGTGGTTGTGGGCTTAGGGCTGCTCGGAAAATTTCCCACACAACCAAGAATCCGAATCGCAAATTTTTTGGATGCCCAAAATATGGTTCGAAGGTATGTATTCCTTTTAGAAATTTCGACATTCCCTTGTGTCCCTGAATCGTCAAAGTAGTGGTTTGCCAACGTTGATTTGCATTTGTGTACAGACTAGTGAACCTTGTGATTTCTTTCAATGGTATGACATAAGAGTTGATGTGTTCAAATCAACAAGAATGCTGTCTGAACTAGTTGCAAAGTTAACACTTGAGAATGAAGAGCTTCGTGCTTCATTAGAGAGACTTGGTGCTCGTCTGGCCAAGGAGACAGCTACGCCATGCTGTGTTGAAATAAGTGAAGAGATGCAGACTGTGAAGCAAAGGTTGGAGCATTTGGAGTTAGAGTCTTCAAGGAGGAAGTGATTGTAACATAAGCTGTATAATCCTATGTGGAATGTTGTTGACTAGCTAACATAGTTAGCATGTATTTACTTGTGTGAATGAAATCACGCTTGATGCTGCAAATGTAAACAGTAGGAAGTGAATGAAAGCTTGATTTTGTCCCTTTCATGGTGTGAATAAATTGTTGCAATTTTCAATGTGTTTGGCCTATGAAATATGCAGCAAGTGTGCAATGAATTTTATGAATCTGCAGAAGGTTTACATAAAATAGGACAATACCATGTTCCCATACATTATAGCAAGATTCTTACATATACAACAAACTTCCTGAATCTGCACAAGGTTAATTACATAAAATAGGACAATACCATGTTCTCTTACATTCTACTACACACGAGTTGGAATGATAAATAAACTTCATCAAAATCAAACTATTCCTACCTTCATCAACATCCTAAGCACTGTCCAATCCTGGTTGCTTCGACTTGCCAAAAAATGAAGTTTCACATACCATTCCACATGTGCTGTACAAAATCTTATGTCCAAATGCTAGCTACCCCCATTTATGGTCAACGTAGTAGACTCTTCACAAAATAGAAGTGGTCGTCTTCGTTCTTAAGAGCATAAAAGAGTTTTGTCTTCGATTCATTGTCCACTAGAGCGATTGCAGCATCAATGACTTGGCATCGTGTTAGTCCATCAATTTTTCCAATCTCAGCCATTAGTGCAGCTTGCTTACTGCTGTCATTATCTTGATCACCTAGTATGGATCCAAGAGCTTCTACAGCCTTGTCAATAACAGGCTTCAAACCACCAAGCTCAGACACAACATTCACTATAGCTTCATCATTGTTGAACTCGACCCTTTTAGCCTTCTTCTTAGCAGCGGAGTTGCTGCCAACAGCACCCTTCACAGATGGCTCCCCCTTAGTTGCTTGGCCATGTGCCTGCTGATGCCCTGCACTTTCTCTAAGACTCTGCTCAATTCCTTCATTCATGATGTCAACCAATATCTCCGTGCTCTTCGGGTCTTCTAAATCAATGGGTGAGTCTAAGCTGTCCAGATTGACAAATGTTGGAGGCGAGTAAACCGGATCTGAAATTCCACCTGTTACCCTTCCTTGAGCTGTTCCGCCTTTGCCAAATATCTTCAGAAGTTCATAGTAGTGTGGGAATGGCTTCTTGTTGAGGTTCTTGATGTTTGGATGCACCTAGAACATTATCAAAATGGTTATTCGAGCTGCTATATCAATTATAATAAGCTAAGCAATGAAATAATGCCATTACCTTCATCAGATCATCAAACACATCATCCTCCACCACTGGTGTTAGAGTCAACTCATCCCACCCATTTCCACTCTTTGAACGCAACAAGTGTACAGCATTAAAATCCCTTTTCAGCTTCCTGTGCCTCGATCGAATATTTGGATCAACCTTGACCCCGCATCCAGGAGCCTTCTGGTGCATCATGTTTTCAAGTTCAATAAATGCTCCATTCTGGAAGTTGCCATTCTCAACTTGATGCTTCTCGACCAGCTCTAGCATACATTGTATCAGTATAGCATCAAGAGTCTCGTTCCAAGAGAAGTAAGGACCCTTTGGCTGAGGGGGGTTAGCTGCTGCTTCTTCTTCTTCTTCTTCTTCTTCAATCTTGATTTCCTTTCTCTTCCTGCCCATCCTATGCAAAAGGCAAATAATAGACAAACATAATATATAACCACATAGCAATCAACACATCCATCAAACTGAACAAATACACATATATAATCACCACAATCAGTCCACAAGAACAAAATACAACAAAGCAAATAATGGGAACCTTACAATAGCTCACATCCTACTGTTCAGCAAAATATAAGAAAGCTAATAATTAAAACAAGCAGATAACATGGTTCAACCTCAAAGTACTTCATCTTCTACCACTCCTATTTGACCAGATTTCTTGTGATAGCTTATCCCTAAAGTTAGTCCACTGGTCTGAAGGCTGAACTACAGATATTACATCCTCAATGTGCTCGGCATAGGCAGAAGGATACTGCTCAGGTTCAGTGTCCACGTAATCCCTCTCAAATGCGTCAACACCTGCCTCTCTTTTGATAAAATTATGCAACAAATAGCAAGAATTCACGATCTGGACCATCACTTCAGGGGAGAACCAACTCGCATCTCTTAGGACAGCCCATCTATTTTTGTTGATACCGAAAGCACGCTCAATACTGTTTCTTGCACTGCCATGCTTCATGTTGAAGTATTCTTCCGCTTTCTTAGGGCGTAATCCTCCCCACTCCTTGAGATGATACCGTTGCCCACGGTATGGTGTTAAGAATCCTTCACACTTGCTATAACCTTGATCACACAAGTAATACGTGCCTAGCAAATGAAATCAATCAGTCAACTCTAGACGGATTTAATACACCTTTATGTTTTTTCGTGACATGCTTAGCCTACATTACCTTTCGGAACCCGCAACCCATTTGGCCTTAGCAATGCATCTCTAAGGACCTTCCCATCATGAGCTGAACCTTCCCAACCAGCTAAGCAATATACGAACTCGAGATTTGAATTACAGACCCCCAAAACGTTCATTGAAACAGTCCCCTTGCGGTCTCGATATCTAGGCTGGTCTTCAAGCCTTACACGGACCTTGATATGTGTCCCATCTAGTGCCCCTAAGCAGCCCTAAGGAACAAAACAACTTTATTACACTAATGTTGAACTTTTTAGCTATACATAAAGAATATAAAAAGATGCTTTAGTCACCTTAAAGAATTTCCACTTTGCATCATCAGAGTTTTCTGGTATAGGTGTTGGCTGGGGTATTAGGATGGGATGGAGTCGGAGAATAGAACGAAGGACCATATGGAATACTTTTGAAATGGTTTGCCCCGATCTACAGAAATCTTGTTGTAGGATCCTGTTCTTGACGTTGTGTCCAATTGTGACCAAGAAAATCATCACCATCTCATCTATGCCTACATCATCCGTACCATTTAACCCCCCCTCACTGACAAGTAATTCACACAACTTCCTAAACAAGGTTCGGTTCATCCGAAGCTTATGAATACATCGACTATCAGAAAGTTCAAGCGTGCGCCTCATATAACGCCTCCTATCATGTTGACGATCAAATATGTTATCTAAAGGGGTATTCCGAGGTCTCCTAGGCTCTAATAACCTTCTCAATACCAAAAGCTCAAGCAACTGAATCAACAACGAAAAATAGACAAGCAATAGTCCTAACACTATACTAATGGCCTTTGCGGCTTTCCGATTGCGCACATTAGATATCCTTCTCAATCGAGCCATTTCCTTTATAGAAATCAAAATGAGTGAGAGTTAGGAAGACATATCAAATACCAAACAATTAAAATCATGACACAACAATATTGGAAAACAGAACAAATATATAAGCAGAAGGTGGAACCGCACCAAAATAGGCAGAGGGTATAACACAACACATAATAATGGAAGAATAAACACATATATAAACAAAGCATTAGAGCAGCAGCCCTCTCATCACAAATGGAGGCATTTTAAAGGCGAAAGAATCGCCCAGCCCTTCCTTTGCAATTAGGGTTCAACAACGGCCTCGCATGCGGCTCCTGCTACGAGATCAAGTACGTCAACGACGGCCGGTGGTGCCTCCCTGGCTCCATCGTCATCACCGCCACCAACTTCTGCCCGCCCAACAACGCCCTGCCCAACAACGCCGGCGGCTGGTGCAACCCTCCCCAGCACCATTTCGACCTCTCCCAGCCCGTATTCCAGCACATTGCTCAGTACAAAGCCGGAATCGTCCCCGTTTCTTACCGCAGGTAAACCCAACAAATTTTTTTTTTTTACTACCCATTAACAATTTACCCCCAACTTGACTTGGGTTCCTCCTAATTTTTTCCACCCAACTAGAATTTCCCCCAAAGTTTGAGTCTTTTACCCTTAATTTGACTTGGGTTGTTCTTTACTTGAGAATCGCCCAGCCCTTCCTTTGCAATTAGGGTTCAAATAGCAGCTTGAGATAGAGTAAATGGACGTTTTGGAGATCCCACAGCATGGTCAAAGTTGGACTCACCTGATTAATGGTGTTGCGCCTGTATTGTTGACGAAAAGAACTTCTCCGCTGCTGAGTTCAGCCGCTCTTTCTTTCTTCCTCTTCAATGGTCGCTGGAGGCTTGGAGAGCACCTGTGCTTTCTCTCTTGCGAAGCCGACCTAATAATATGAAAGGGAATAGATAATAATTGTTCCAGGGCAAAGGTGGAATAAACAAAAATTGCTTGGACATGGGAGTCAATTTGCACCACGTTTTTTTTGTCTCCAGCCAAATACCAATGAAAATGTGGTATTTACAAATTCGTGGGGCCCACGGATTTGGTCCAAATTTTTTTGATCCAAATCCGTGGACCCCACGGATTTGTGTACCAATTTTATACCTAGCAAACAAAGGATTTACTCAAATACATGATGGTTGGGGTTTTGGGGGCAAATACAACACCCAAATCATATTAGCAAACGAGGCCTTAGCCTTCAATTGGTGTCATTATAGTGTCATTATCATGCAGACACTAATACAAAAGGAGATTTCAACGAGAGAAAGCCATTGATTAACCAATTAAAACCATTAGTCTACCTAATCCATGATTCCTATCGACTTAAACATATTACCAATATCACTTCCCCAGGTTGTGAACTATGACCTGTAAGTAGAGATTTGCCTTTAACCACAGTTACATAATTACTGATCGCTTCATCCGTTAATCATGATGAGGTCATGCGTAACTCAGAGATTTCATTCTCAAACTCATGACTTTTTTTTTTAAGTCATAAAAACTCATGACCAATGCAGACTTTAAAACTAAAAAACGCTTCTTAGTAGAATCACACTTCTCCCTTATAAATTTAGTCAAAATCTACTACGAAGAATCACGTTTTTGACTGCATTGCCCACGACAAAAAAATAACAACTTTTTTGACTGCATTGCCCACGACAAAAAAATAACAACTTTGTATGAAACCTGTGACTCGAGGTAACTCATAGCCATCGTCGATGGCTGCCGGGATAAGCACCCAAAAACGTCTGGCCATTGACACGTCCACACAGACTAGTAAAGGATTGGAAAGAAACAACATTTCCAAGTAGCTATGGTAGAACGAGCGGTGAAGTGATTGTTGAAGAGTCGAATCATTTTCGAATAACTTGAATAATAGCAGAGCATGTGAATGATGGAAGAGAAACGATTCTAAATATAACTATCACAAAAATTAATCCACTTTCTTCAGATAAATCCGAAACAAAACCAGAATGACCGAAATACATACTCCGAAAACTTGCAAAGATTTAATCCCTAGCGGAGATCATGCAGCAAACCATAGAAAACCAAGCTCCTGTTTAGGAAAACCAAATCAATATTTGATGGGAGCAATGACTTCCAGCTGGGCACCGAGCTTCTCATCGGCGGTCTTCTCAGCCTTGACCCTGAGCTTGGCCAACTGCTTCTTTCTCTCGTACATGACAGCTGACTTCTCCTTCCTCTTCCTCTCAAGCTCCTGTTGTGATATTAATGGAGATTAGTTCAATATAAAGTATTGGCAACAATAAAAGATCCAACATCAACACCCTGTGTACAATTACATTGCAACTTAGTTGGTACATTACATACAAGCAACATCCATCATCACTCAGCACACAGCCAGCATATCAGAATTCAAAGCTAAACCAAGAACCCTGTTGTCTACCCACTATGCTCTGAAACTGGAGGTGCTGAATGGAAAAGCCTAATCGACTGAATTCAGAAGCAGCATTCATACATAGGATTAACTCACTAGCTCAACATTTGGAAGCACAACATAATAATGGCATCAAATTGCATTGTATAACGGACGATCAACTTACAATTCAAGAAACTTAGAACTTAAAAACGAGAAGCTTCTGCTAATACCTTCCTATGTTAGTCTTGTTGTCAGAAACACCAACGAATTGACAATGCAGTATGCAATACTTGAGTTAAAACAACTCGCTCATACACAAACGATTTACAATCTAGCCGCAATGTAAAATCAATCAGCGGAATAAGAGCTGCAATTACCTTAATGGTATCATAGTGATTCCATCCAACTTCAGAAGAGAGTTTGCCCAACAAGCAGTACTTATGACCACTCTGCAACCTCAAAACCCTAGCAAAAGGAGGAAGAAAGATAAGAATCACAAGTCCCAAAACGAAACCCAAGCGAAATAATTTAAGAAACCCAGCAAAACACTCACTTGAGAGCGTCGGGGATCACCATCCTCTTAACCTTGTCGTACGGCGGCGGGACGCCCTCGTAGACCTTCAACCTGGCGAGGGCAGCCTCACCGCGCTTGGTCTTGTGAGGAATCATGCCGCGAATGGTGCGCCAGAGGATCTTAGAAGGAGCGCGAAAGTGGATTGGCCCGTGGGAAGGCTTGGTGTTCATCCGCTTCCTCAGGAACCTCATGTACTTCATCTTCTGGCGAACCAGTCCGCCGGACAGGCAAATCTCCTCGCATCGAACGACGACGACCTTCTGGCCGTTGAGGAGCTCCTTGGCAAGGATCGAGGCAAGGCGGCCGAGCATGTGGTGGCGGGCGTCGACGACCACCCTCTTCGCGCAGATTCCTGAACCGGACACCATTGTTGCTTGGCTCAGCTGATGCTGCTGCGGCGTTGATTTGTGGAAATGGCGCTAGGGTTTTGAGAGTCTGGGTTTGGGAGTGTATATATACTGTGCGAGTTAAAGGTTGTAGGTATGGGCTTCAAGCCTGGCTTCGATTTGTAATTGACAACAGTTGGGCCATGGATTATCTTTACGGACCTTAGTTGGGGGCCTTCACAACCCTTGGACTAAAAGAGCAGAAAGATTGTGATGAAGCTGATGAAAGGAAAGCTGCAGAAGTGAAGCAGGAGGAGCAGCTGAAGAACACAATAGGAGGTTGAAACAGTGACGTAGAGACCAACACTTATCGTTAGGTGGAGATCAAGAGGCCAACCAGATGAGGACATGTGGCATTCTCTATTTCGTTTTAGTTTAAATTACAGTTTAATAGACATTTCACATTTCTCTGTTTGGAGTAGCACAAACTCTTTGGGATGAACTTAAGCAGAGATTTGCCAGTTGCAATGCACTGAGACTTGTTAATTTGAAAGAAGCTATAGATCGTTTTAAACAAGGAAGTCTGAGTGTGACTCAATACTATGTGCATCTGAAAGGGTTATGGGAGGAATATCACCATTTCAACCCCATTTTTTATTGTGACTGTGTGATAGCTAGAGTCAGACCTTATGCAGCAGTTGAGGCTTTTAAGGAAAGGCAAGAGACTGAATACCTCATCAAGTTTCTTCGAGGACTCAAACCTGAATTCGATGTGGTGCAAACTCAATTGTTGATGATGAAGCCATTGCCTTCTGTGCAAGCAACCGTAGATGACATCCTGCAACATGAACAGAAGCTTAATATGATAAAGGGCATTCTAATCGAAGTGGTCACTCAGTGGCACTCGCAGCTCAGGGTGATAAGCAGAAGAGCTCTAGTTCATTTGAACCTAATAAAGGTGGAAAGGATGGCACAGAGGTGGAAAGCAAGTTCTGCCGATACTGTAAAAAGAATGGCCACTTGAAGGAAGAGTGTTACATACTCAAGAGTAAGAAGGCCAAGATGGTAGGGGAGAACAATTTTGCTGGTTCTGTTTCTCAGTCAGACTCAGAGAGTAAAGACACAGGCTCCACGGGAAGTAATCTGAGTCTAGACACCAAGAGCAGTTTGGGTAGCCAATGGTTCATCACAAAGGAATTCAACAAACTTAAATCCCTTTTGCAACAGTCTGACAGGATGAGTCCCTCACCACCTCTTTCACCTTCACTCAAGCATGTTGCATATTCAGTCACTCGACACTTACCACGGTTTCCTAACTACTCTGGTAAGTTTGTTCTATCTTCTCACAACCATTTGGTTTAATGGGTCTAGCACAAGTCTGGATATTGGACACTAGGGCCTCAGATCACATTTGTTGCACACTTTCTCTATTGACTGATGCTAAGCCTATAGTCAACCAATTTGTGTATCTACCAAATGGATCTAAGGTTTCAGTTAGCCATATTGGTAAAGTTAGATTACAACCTGGCTTGTACCTTCAAAATTTGCTCCTGGTCTCTAATTTTATCTTCAACCTTATCTCTGTTAGCAGAATTACCCATGACCTTCCACGTTCTCTAGATTTTGAATCTTACTCTTGTCATATTCAGGACCTAGTGACCAGGAAGCATATTGGTTTCCCCAGACAGAATAGAGACCTCTACCAACTTTTCCCCGACATTCCAGCCTTACCACACCATCACACAGCAACCACTTACAATTGGCCACACCAATTTGAGTTATGGCATTGGAGGCTAGGTCACCCCAGTAAAGAAAGAGAAAACCAACTTGTTGGATGTAATAGATCCATTGTCAGACATTGTGAAACCTGCCATTTAGCTAAACAAAGGAAGCTCCCTTTTACTGTTAGCACTAGTAGAGCACAACTTGTTGATGGCTTGATATATACACATGTTTTTGTCCACCATTCCTGTACCGTTTGAGTCTCATCTCTCGTGTTTTAGGCCGATTTCACGCTAGGTTGTTCTTGTTTGTGATATTTCATGTCCTAGTACGTGAAAGAAGGTTTGGGCACGAGTTCGGGGTCGATTGGACGAAGTTGGGACGTTTGACGAAAAGCTGGGAATTCCACACGGGCACGCCTAAAATTCCACACGGCCGTGTGACTTGGCCGTGTGGCACCACTTTGCACGGGTAAATCGCAATGGCCGTGTATGGGACCCCTTGTGGCCGTGTGGAAAGTCTAGGAAGCTCACACGGCCAGACTGGAAATCCACACGGCCGTGTGGTTTTGGTCGTGTAGCGTAACTGAAGCCACTTAAGTGAAACGCGGCATTTTGCACTTCCACAAGGGCAACTGGGGATTTCACATGGCCGTGTGGCCTGGCCGTGTGATCGGGCAGAACTGGATTTTAACCCAATTTCGAGCCTTTTGAAGGGGGAATCGACTTTTTGGAGCAAAAACAGAGCCCTAGAAAGAGAAAGTGTGAAGAACACATCCTAGAGGTGATTTTGGAGCTGGGTTTCATCAATCGAGCTTGGAGATCATCATAGGACTGAAGATCATCATTCCAGAGTAGATTTTCCTCATCTTTTTGAGTATGACTACTCTGATTACTATTTTCCTCTCTCTCTCTCTCTATGGAGTAGAACCTTCTCTCACTTGGGTATGAAGAACCCTAGTTCCATGTGTTAGGGATCTTGATTGTAATGACTTTGGATTGTTATAATGTTTGATTTTAATCGATTGATGCATGATTCATTGAGTCAATTGAAGTCTGATCATCTTTTCTTGATTTCTGCTGCAACCTGAGATAGATAGAATCTAATTAGGTTGTTAGATCTTCATCAATCGGTAGTGGTAGATTGGTTATACGAGAGTTAATCAATTTACTGCTTTGTACTGGAACCCAATTCCAGTAGTGGAGTTCTGTGCTTATTGCATTAACAGTCTATCCCGGTGAAGGTTAATCGCCTGCCGGTTAGCCTGCTAAGAGGGCTTGGTCAGCTTAAGAGATTCCAAGCTACTGTCGGATCTTCCGCAGTTTAATCAACATTTAATCAACCCAGAGTAATTACAACTGAGAACTAACTAAGGAGCTAGGGGAACTCATTCCCGAGTGAATCTTCCTTTGCTTTGGAAAACCGAACCATTTCATGCTTTCTTACTGCTTTTAGTTAAAACCACAATCACTCGACTTAGTTTGCTAGATAATAGATATTCACGGAGTAGGCAGTAGATCTAGACCCCGGGTTGACAATTAGAGCTTGCATGTTATTGCATTTCCGGACTGCGATTACACTTGGTCGCAGTTTGGTGTTGTGTTTGAGTGTGTCAAGTTTTTGGCGCCGTTGCCGGGGACTCTCTAGGTTATTGGGGAAACGTGAAATTTTGTTACTCTAGCTTTTTCTTTACTGCATTTTCTCTCTTCCACCTGTGTGCCTTCACGGGTTGCCTTTGCCGATTGTGTGCAGGTAGTGCATGACCCGTAGCCAGTCGGGAGATTTACTACCATTAGACCAAGAGCTTGAACGAACCTGTAGGAACTTCAAGCGGGCTCTAAAGGCGCGACTGGCTGCGGAGGAAGCTGTGGAGCAACTGTCATCACCGAGGAGGAAGAAATGGGTGAACCACATAACAATGATGTGCTCATTCCCGAGGAGCAAACCATGGGCTATTACTGGACCGCCCGCGCCGCAGACATGAGGTCTCCCATCCAACACCCTCAAGTTGCTGCCAACAACTTTGAGGTGAGTACCTCTGTCATCACCATGCTGCGCGGCTCGGTGGTATTCATTTACTCCTAGAATGAAGAAACCTATAAGAAATAGAACCAAGCCTGCATGGCACAAAGACTATGTGTTCTCAGGTGCTACCAGCAGTCATTCAATACAACATTTTGTTTCATTTGAGCAGTTACTTGTATCACACAAGTCTTATGTGCTAAGTGTTATGAATGCAATAGAACCTAAGTCCTATGCAGAAGCATGTAAAGAGCTGGTCTATAGATTATCTATGAATTCTGAAATGGACGCACTCATTGCTAATCAGAGGCCTGTCAATTTGTGGGTTTTCAAATAATCATTGCTTGCATTCTTCTTCTCCCTTACAACCAGCTGCAACCTTAGCAGCTTGGTTTCTCATATGGACAACAACACTGGATCTTAGTTGAGGGCTTTTACAGTCCTTTGGGAGTTATGGTTATCGACTGTGATGGTGCTGTCGGTTTGAGAATCTCCCGAGTTGGGCAGTTGAGGCCTGTTGGGTGCTTCTGTTGATAAATGCTCACTGGGCCTCAAAGTCTATGAGTATTGAGAGTGGTACAGAACACATGTAATTTGGTGTGTTTTTGTCTAGTCCGACGGGTTGGTTAGAGTCGTCAGGTGAACCAATTTGTTCCTAATGGCCCTAAGGCCCCTAATCAATTGGAGCAAGTTGCCAACACAACACAAATTTGTTCAATCACTGAAACCACTCTAAGTAGGGTCTAAATTGGGGTGAGTGTGGTTACCGCTCCATATTTTGCGGGTACACACACCGAAAAATTTACAATTATGCTACCCACAATGCACTACAGTGGTTAGTGGGGAATCACTACCCACTACGGGTTGGTGCGGGTTGTGTGTGGTTACCCGCAAAAATCCATATTTGCAAGTATGGAGTTGAGGCCTTTACTAACGTATTTGTTGTTCGTAGCTAAACTATACAATTGTGTTGTTCAAGCTTACTCAACGTGGAGATTTTTTCTTTTCGAGTTTGGTATTCAACTTTTGTGTCAGAAAACTGTGATTTCATATTTCATAGACTAAGGGTGAAATAAGACAATTAAATATGATCTTGTATTTTTTTCCACACAAAAGCAAAAACATACAAATAAAAGTTACTAAAAGTTTCCACTTTTAATGAATCTATTATTCTCCATTCTCTCGACTATAGTCTTTTAATAAACTAAAAAATTCTCACATAAAACTGATTAGGTGCGTATTTGATTTTAGTGGCTACTTTAATCTCTTTTTTTTTTACGAAAGTGGCTACTTTAATTTTTAGTCTCCCACTTTTCACATACTATTATATTATAAATCTAATTCAATAAATAAATATAATTAGTGTGGTTACTATGGGTTAACCACCGTGGGTAGTGGGTAACCACAAAGCACAAAAATCATTATTTTACTATCCACACACCCACTACCCACAACTTGTGGGTATGATTACCCATAATGAGTGCGGGTTGGTGCGGCTTGCGGGTTATCCACAACTAGAGTTGTTAATGAGCCGAGCTACATGAGCGGCTCGGCCTCGAACCCGATAAAAGCTCATTCGATTAAAAAATATTGTGGCTCGTTAATAAACGAACTGAGTTTGAGCTCTACTTATTCGGCTCGTGAAGCTCATGAACTAGCTCGATTAGGTGGCTCGTTAATACAACTCATGAACTGTCTCGTTTTGAGCTTATGAAATGTCCCAACATTGTGACTAGAGAGCCAACTCGACTACAGCTTATGACAAAATCAATCTATATTTTATGAGTTGGTTAGTTAATGATGCATATAATTATTCAATTGTATATATCACCTTATATGATGATTAATACATTGAGTATATGTAAGAAAATACGTCTCATATATGACATAAAATTAGGAAATCACATGTATCACATATAAATATTAGGGTATTTATATTATAAATTATCTTAGAGTTGAGCTCGAGCCCAACTTTCGATCTTAATGATGTGTCAAGATTTAATAAATGAGATGGCTCGTGTTCGACTCAACTCGCCTCATTTATAAACGAGCCAAACATGAACAAGGCAAAACTCGGCTCTGCTCATTAACAACCCTATCCACAACCCAAACTTCCACCCCTAACTCTAAGTGGTTTTCTTGTTTTTTTCAAAGCTATTTCTTGTGATGTAAAAAAAAAAAAGCTATTTCTTGTGTGAACCTCCCAGTTGTGGAATAATTTCATTAATTAATGAGAGTCGATGACCAAATTTCACTAGACCCGCTTTCTAGATATTTTATTCCCCTCTCCGTTTCCATTAAACTCAGCCTTGAAACATTATTGTCAATATTATTTCATATATATTTTCCTCTTATTTTTCTTATAACTCATCCTTACGAAAAAACACTGGTCACGGGATATGAGTTATTTCAAATAACTCACTGACCAAATAACTCATTTTAGTAAAATGCTGCCAAATGAGTTATTTGTGTCCAAATAACTCATTGTGAGTTATTGAAACCCAAATAACGTAACTCGCAAATAACCTATACAAATACTCCTAAACGCGACCCCTAAGTCTAAACATGTTTCTATTTCTAGTTGTCCCCAATTTATCAGAATTATCCACTAAATATGGTTTTATGTTTTCTAGTTTCATTGTGATTGTATATTTGTTGTCACAACTCTACCGCTGCCGCAACCACAACAATAAACCATACTAGCCATTAGTATTACATCAATAACTATGATCGAGTGTTTTAGTGGGGTTTTGGTTTAGTCAAAGAGGGCATCTGCACAAAGGTAGTAATTAAATTGACTGGAAAAGTGCTTTGACAGCCTTAATGCCTTATTATTATTCACATTGTTGGAAGGTTGGAGTGGGGATGCATTATGAGTCTCTCCAAATCCCTACCTACTATTATTATTATTATTATTATTATTATTATTATTTTCCATATATTTGAGAAGCGGTCACATGGATTATGCAAAAATCCAAAAGCGGAACAAAACAAAGCAATATGCAGGAGCAGGAGACAGATACCCTACACTACAGAAAGGCGAATGGTATGGCCTAATTAATAATAATATATATGCATGCAGTACAAGTAGAACCAGCTAGCTAGCTGAGCCTGAAAACAAATTCTGACAAGTCAACGTTGACCTCATGCATGGTGGAGACAAAAGTCTCCCTGCTGGTTGACCTTCCTTTCTATCACCTCCTCCATCCCCACTTCCAGCCAAATCAAATCAACATTGGTACTATTTGTCACTCTGCACCCTTCCTAGCTCCAATACTTCAATCTCTCTCTCCAGCGAAGCGATGGGTGATGAATTGAAGAGGCAGATGGGATTCTTCATAATTTCATGCGCGCATATGCGTACAAGGATTGAAGTCACCATCTGTCCTGTCCCGATTTGCAAAAGTCAAAGCCCTCGGCTGATAAATGCCAGATCCAGAGATCAAGCCAACAACACCTACGTACGTGGCTGCTGCAGGCAGTGCTCAGTCAAAATATACAAAACTCCCACCCCTTCCCTCGATATAAGCCTCAATTTGTGTATACTTTAATTTTCCGAATACGTAGCTACAGATAGCTTTGACAGTTTACACTATCTTATTGTGTCTTTACTATTCCTACAATTTACAAATTGCATTCTCTTGCTGACTAATGTAGTGAAAGATAGCAGTTAATTAAGATGTTGTTGGTGAATTTCAATCAAGGAACACAAATAATGTATGTTGAGTATAGTTTGTATGGTACCTACCTACGTACTTGCCAGCGAAATTAAACGATGTTGTGTACGTATATGTTCGTAATATCTCCAACTTCCTTTTAAATTTTAATTTCTATAGTCAAAATACCGTGATTGATCGTAATATCGTGATTGATCGATCAATCCCCCATCAAAAGAAATCCAACTATCTATAAATTATCACAATATATTCTGTTTCGTTAAGATCTCGAGATATATATATATATATCAAATATATGAATCCTGTCCTTAATTCAGGAAAAAAAAATGTAAACACAAAAAAAAAAAAAATCTTTAGAGATATCGCATGTGTAGGTAGTGAGACACGGGGCGGCGCGTCATGATGGATCAATCACATGCTGCTAAGCTAGAGCTAGCTAGTGGTGTTGGCATGAATGAAAGTAAATATGTGCTGCACAGAGCTCGCTATCTCTTCCGCCGTGAACCTTCCCTCACTTTCAACCTATATATACCACACCCACAGTAGGACTGATTAAGATGATCCAGAGAAGCTAGAGAAGGTTAATTAAATCAAGAAGATAATTAATTAAAGCAGGTAGGTAGGTACCTTGACATTGAAGGAATAGAGCACAGTTTGCTCGATGGTGGTGATGTTGGTGTGTAGGATGTTGAGGTGCAGATCCTCCAACGCCGCAATCGCCTTGATCAGCTGGCCGGGCCGCCTCCTCGACAGCACCTTAATCATGGCGTCGAGCCCCAACACCTTCACCTCCACGTCAGCCAAGCAGGACTTGTTCTCCGCCGTCTCCTCCCTCACTACAAATCCCGAGGAGGAGGGGTCGAAGCACACTAACGCAGCGGCCGCGGCCTCATCGTCGTCGTCATCACCACCATGTAGTGTAGGAAAGAAGCTGGGTGATGATGGGTGCAGTTGGTGATGGTGAATGGAATTGCTATGATTACTGTCAGCTCCGATATTCGCAGCAGCAGCTGGTCCTGCTCCTTCCCCGTACAGCCTCCTCCTCTTCTGTGATTCCAAGCACTGCAGGAGCTGCTCCAGTTCCCTCACGAACTCTATTGCTCCTCCAATTATCGACGCTTGATCTCCCTACACGCACTCACACGTACGTACATTAATCCATCGTTAATTAGTTTGTTACAGTAGTGGACATGTAAGAATTAAGAAATTTAGGAAATGAGTAGGGACCCGTTGGACGTAGGAACCGGGCATGAGGGAGCGGAGGACTCGGAGGTGCTCGTTCATCTGCTTCCGGCGGTTCCTCTCCACGGCGATGTGAGTCATGCGCTGGCTCTCCACCTCCTCGCTCGTCTTTATACTCCTCGGCGCCCGCTTCCTCTTGTTGTTGTTCTTGGCCGCCGCCACCGCCACCGCTGCTCCTTCCGGAACAATACTTATTGTACCACCACCCGCTTGTTGATCATTATTAGCAACAAACTGCAGCAGCTGCCCCTCCGACGCCTCGGCGTTGTTGCTACCCGAAACCCTAGTCGTAACGCCATCAAGCCTTATCATCTGAGGAGGAGCTTCTGACGACATCATCTTCATCATTAGTTGTTGCTGTTGACGACGTTCATCGACTTGTTCTTGTTCTTGTTCGATGTGATTAGTGTTGGTAATTATCCGGTCGTTGAGAACCGGGAACTTGAGGAAGTAGACGGGATCCTCCATGCTGTTCCCCACCGGCGCCGCCTTGTCTTGGTAGTGGTGGTTCACGGGCATCTTGGGGCGCCCGAAATCCGCCAACTGCATGACGTCGGCGAAGCTCATCAGCTTCTCCAAACCAGATGGTGATGATGACATGGATTGGTTGTGGTTGTGGAGGAGGAAACGCTGATCCATGCTGCTGCAGCTATTGTTGTTGTTGTTGTTGTTCATGTCCTCATCATGACCTTGTTCTCCCGTGGGAGGGTGCAGGGAAGTAGTGTAGTCCTGCAGGTCCTGGAGGAGCAAAAAATCAATCATGCATGCCTCATCATCGTCAATTGGTGCTCACAATGATACAGATACATATATGTTTGGGAGAGACCCAGAGACAGAGAGGAAGGAAGGATATGGTGGCCGATCGATCGAGATGGACAAGATATGTATGTATGTATGTATATATACCGAGTAGTTATCCATATGATCGATCGAGACTGCTGACAGGGCTAGCTGGCTAGCTAGAGATGTGCAAAAGATGACAAAATTAAATCCCTCTTTGAGTTACGTTTGTGATAGATAGATAGATAGATAAACTTTCTTTCCTGCTGCACCTCAGATCAGATCAGAGCTAGCTTCTCCTACTGGGAGGAGGGGGGGTCCTCCACCTGCAAATTAAGGACAGACAAGAGAAACAAACAAACAAACAGCAATTAACAAAGTGGCACATATATTTAATTAGCACCATCCATCACAACTAACTAGTATAGTAAAGCTGAGAATTTACATGCGGAAAGAAAACCCAAACAGATGAACGCTACGAATCTGCAGTGTATTGGGATTTGGGAAGAGGGACAAAGGGTTGTCACAAATTTTGTTTCTTTGGTCCTGTTTTTGTTTGGATGGATGCAAGCTAGCAAAAGGAAATCGCTGTTTTTGTGACTATATATATATATATATATTATACTAGAACTAGAGTATGAGAGCTCCAAGGAGGGAGGAGGAGCCTGCAATCGCATGCAGTGGAGTAATGACGCGCGTCCTCAGTTTCACCACATTCACCTTCAGCTATAGAGCTAGTTAGTTAGCTGGTTTTCCAGAAAGAAAGCAGCCATCTGATTATTTATGTGAATCACAGGCGGCTAAGCTAACCCCCAACGCCGCTTTTCATGACTCCAATTAAAGGCAACCCAGCTGCCTCATTACCGTGACTGATCCATCTTCGGTTCTACTTTTGAATTCCAAAATTTTGGGAGGTGAGGTGATCTGTGTTTTTATTTTTTGGGCCTGTACGTCGTTACCCCGCCGCGCGGCTTAACTCAACTTTCACATGTGAATGGCCCATTTAATTCCTTGGATCTGGCTTGGCTTTGAGGTCTGATTTAATGTTACCAGTTACCAGCCCATTGTATGTATATCCACATCTGACTTTTCTTACTTTTCCCTTCTTCCCACGCTCTATAGATATCACTAATCATGGCCCGGCCAGTTGGCCGGATTTATTAACCAATTGTATAAACATTAATAGTAATTTGTATGGGAGAAACACGTTTTTTATAGTTTAAGAAATTTAATTTTTTCAAACACTCGAAACATTAATAACCAACTCCTAAAATCATTTTGAAATAACCTTTCTATTTACTACTTATCGTCAAAGATTACTGGACATATACTTTTCGACTTGTTTGCATTTCCTCCACAATGAGCAACATCATAATTATAGGTGTCAATCGGGCGGGTACGGGCGGGTACGGGCGGGTTCGGGTCGAGTTCGGGTCGGGTTTAGTCAGGTCGCGGGTCAAACGGGTTCGGGTTGAACTGGTTGATCGGGTTGCGGGCAAATCAGGTTCGGGTTGATCGGGTTGCGGATCAGTCGGATTACGGGTTGGTCGGGTTTGGGTTGATTGGATTGCGGGTTGTTCGGTCCATACCATCGAGTTTTTTTTATAATTAGTTATTACACTAATTTAAAACAAACTCACTGATCACCATATTGCAATGAAAAAAACATGAAGGTACATTATTAAACAAATGAGTGACTAGATTTTGCTTAAATATATATCATAAACAAGTTTGATGTTGCAGAGGATTCATTAAGGTTATAAAACCAACATAAGAAATTTAAAAAACTGACAACTTATTTGATCATAAACCTATGAAACAATCTCTTGAGTCTTGATAGTTGAGACCATTACATAACATTTAAGCAAATATAATAGAATGAAATACAAGAAATTACATAAGATTGAAATTTCTACTCCTATGGGCGGTACTGCTTTTGTTGTTGCAAATCACCATTCCTATATAGATTGGAATTTCACAGGAGAACCTAGCTAGATGACCCTGTAAATCACCATTTCTATTAAAAGCAGCAAGTACAATCCTCAAATATAGCCTTCTAAGCATATGAAGTAGTGGGTCTCGCAGCCGCCGAGGCCTTCTCACCAGTAGGGTGGCTCTCAGGCGGACGAGGAGAAAAAGAAAAGAGGGAAGCTAGAGAATGAAGTGGGGTTTCATCGTCAAGATAGCAGACCGATGAGAGTAGTTGGGCAATTGAAGAGGGAAAAGAAAGGCAAAGGCGGGATTTTTTGTTTTCATTTTTCGAGGGACTCTAAAATTTGGAAAGGGGTAAGTTTCCCTCTTCTTTTTTCGGTAGAAGAAAGTTTCCCTCCTCCAATGGAAAAGTGGGGCAAACTTTCCCTCCTATATTTTGGGTAAATTTGTTGTCAAGAAGGGGTACCTCTCTTTTAATAAATTATTATTTTATCATTCACGGGGTTATACCGTAATTGAATTTTGCATTTAAAAAATTTCCCTCAACATCTAATTCTTCCTTTCTTTCATATTTATTATTATAGATGGTAAATTTTATACCGATTAACTAGTTTGTTGTTCGATCCGTTGGTTGGAATGTCATTTAATATGATATATTTAAGATGTACATTCACAAGTTAAATTCATTGTTAAAATCAAATTAATTAATAAACTATAAAAACCAAAATATCTACCATAAAGCATAACCATGAAGAAATCCTAAACCCTATAACACCATTTTAAATATGAAACCTAAAACTAACCTTAACCATCAACTATACATTATCCTAACTCACAACATTAAGTAATTAACCCTAAAACTAACCTCAACCCTTAACCATAAGTCCATAACCAAAACAGGCAAACACTGAACTCTAAACCATGACCCTATACCCTATACTATAGTTATATGTTATGAAATTGTTGGTACAAGCTATAATGTATCTTATGTGAAGAATGTAAGTTGAGTCAATTTTATATTCGGTTATTGAGAAGAACATACGTCCTATGACTCCAAACTCCAAACCACGAGTCCACTATCGTATACCCTATAACTTTATGTATACGTTGACATAAAATAAATTTTAAGGATGGTCTTACTAAGTTGTGAACTATTAATTACAATCTAACTTTTTATTTTAAAATTCAGTTAACAAAATGTTAATTTTAAAACTCAGTTAACAAAATGTTAAAAAAATATGACTTTGCTAAGCTTTGAACAATGTACCTTGAATTGGAAAGACCATCACAAAAGCCAACTAGTCCACGTAATTAATTTGTTACAATTTGAACTTGTTGTTTACTTGGTCCAACTGAAAGGCATAAAAACCAGGAAAGTGAAACGAATCCCTAATACCCTAACCTCCTGTCAACACAAAGTAAACCTTTGTTCTTAGTGAGAGAGATGAAAAAATAATAGGGCAAGTCACGTAAACTTTATATATATACTATCGACATATAATATTTATGCACAAAAATATATTATGTAGTATTATTTATGCCAATCGGGCGGGTTCGGGTTGGGTTAATCGGGTTTGGATTAGTCCCGTTACGGGTCAAGCGGGTTGCGGGTCAGGCGGGTTGTGGGTCTTTGACTTTTAGTCCAATCGGGTTGCGGGCGGGTCGCCGATCGGGTTGGGCGGGCGGGTTACTCGGGTTGGGTCATGTTTTGACACCTATAATCATAATCTCCACCGGTCATTGGGTTCATCTCAATTAATGACACATTTATCTCCATTGCCAATTGTCATTTCCTTCTTCTCTCTTTGAGCGCGAAAATTTTAATGATAAATTATTTAGAAAGACAAATAATCTTTTCATTGGAGTAGAATTTACATTGTCCAAATTATGAACAATATCCACGATTTGTTCTTTCTCCCCATCGCCAGTACTTGTGTCTTCCTCATGAACAATGTATTCCTTCTTCTCAACATTATCATCTGTAACCTCGGATCCTGTACCTCCACTATTAGCAGTCTCATTCTTGTTCTCTTTCATTAATATTATGAATATATATTATTGACATTTAAAACGCAACATATGATGTGGTTTTATTGAATTTAACTGTTTAATATTATACATTTGAGTAAAATTTGGAGTCGGATACGATTTCTTCCATGTTAGTGAGGTAGAAAGCAAAGTATTACTGGAGTTTTAAGTTATAAACACATGCTTATGTGTACAAATTAAATAATACAACTAAGTGTCATTTGTGCATGCATGAATTAGACACTAAAGATATATATTTCTGTATGGTATAAAAATTGAAGACGTATACACTTGATAATACAATAAAGTATACAATTGCATGCATGTTAGTGAGAAATAGAGTAAAGCTTCAACGGAGTTTTAAGTTGTACAATTAAATGCATTTCTCTAGAGATTAAAGAATACCACTAAGTATCATCTGCACATGATCTAAAAGTTGATAGCTCTAAAAATTAAAACATATACATATGATAATACAACTAAGTATAATTTACGCATGGTATACTCTTGATGATAGCAGTTAAATTGGTGAATTGCTCAGTTAATTGCATTACAAAATCCACATGTGAGAAGTTGAAAGGGTAGGCAGATTAATTAAATAATTAGAGGGTGCATGTTTTAAATATACTCCAAATTCTATCGAGAATAGTACAATCTTGTAATTAATATTGATCATCCTTTTCAAGCAAGTAGAATTTATCCATATTTTTTCATAAAATAACAGGAAATCCAACTTTCAACCTAATAAAATAGTTTGGGAAATTTCTAATCTTCAATATATTGAGAAAATCCAAAAAATAATCTTATAGGATAATGGCTACCTACAGGATCAACTTCAATTTACTCTGAACTAGGATAACAAACTGCATCTCCTTGAAACCTTTCCATTATATAATTATTAATTGTCAACACTATTTCATGAGGTGGAGCTAATATAGCACGATGAACCAAAAAAGTTACTTCACTGAAATTACAATCGAGATCACCATACACATGATTCACAATACCAGCAACAACAATGTCATCTCCTTCATGTGGAATGCTTAAAGAAGTTGAAAATTGATATCATTGACTCCCCAAAAATTTTGAGCACACTCGATCACCTATCTGCAAATCTATTTGCTCAATTCTTCAATCTAAATAGTTTTTTCAAGCCCACAATTTTCGGTTGCAAAATATTATGCGTAGGACCCATAGGAGCTTTATCACAAATAATAAGAGCATCATTCTGAATCAACTCTGTTAAATCGTTTCTTTGCCTGGCCAACCATTAGGTTGTCCTCAACCCGTACGCTAAAACAGCACAAATGCATTTTTAGCCCTCAAAAACTTCCTTCAACCATGGGGCAAGGGGGGGGGGGGGGGGGCTAAATAGCTATATTGGATTTTTGGGGGGTAAAATGACTCTACTTTGAGTGGAAGGCAAAAATGGTGTGGACCAAATGCTGAAAAATTCTCTTCTTCTTTTTTTAATTTTTTTGTTTTATATTATTAGTTGTGTTGTTTTTAACTAACGAAGACTATTTCGATTGAAATTTTGACCGTTCAAAGTCTATTTGAAGACAAAAAAAAAAAACACTTTAACAAACTCAAACCTCAAACATACTCAAACTTTAAACACACTTAAAGAGACTCATTTTGTTGTAACTTTCGACCGTTCGATTATATTTGAAGACAAAAAAATATATTAAAAATTTGTAACGTTCTTCCATTTCACCTAAAATAAAAGTATCTTCAAATTTTTTCAAATTCTTGAAACTTTTATCAGAATGTTCTATCGAATTATCATGAACAAATATATAAAATTTAAATAAGAAAACATTAGTTTAACTATTAATAAGTTAGGATTACTAAATACGAAACCTAAAATTGTAGCCCCCGAGTTGCAACTATTTATGTTTTCGAGGGGGCTAAAAGGCCATTTTACCCTTTAGACCCCAATTTTTTAGCCCCCAGGTTGTGGTTAGCTTTAGAGTCACTATCAATTGAAATGTGGAATCGAGAATGAACAATTATACCTCCAACCATTAGCAAAGATACAATACCAAAAGAAGTAATACACAACACTATTTTCTTTTCTTCTCGTAATTTCATACAAATAACCTTGCAAAGAAATGTTTTCCTTGTATCTCCAAATTTATCAACAAAGAAATAGTTTTCATTTTCTCCCTCCACAACTTGAATAATTTCATTGAGTACATTCCTCTATCCTGAATTCAATTTTGGATAA